CGCCTGCAGCGCGCTGGCGGGGGCCGCCGGCCCGGCCGCAGGAGGACCGCTCACCACCGGGCCCTTCGACATGCTCCTGCCTTCCGCTCCCTCCGCCGCCGCTACCACCGAGGAGACTTTATTATTCACTCTGCGCGGTCCGCACGGCGACCGCAATGCGCAGGCGCCGCCGCCGCCATTATCGCCCCGGTGCGCAAAGCACGATGGGACTTGTAGTCCGGGCGCTCGTGCAAACTCCACCAACCGGGGACAGCTTGGCAGGGCTTCCGGCCTGTAGAACTACAACTCCCACGGACACTATGCAGCCATTGCCCCGGATTTTCTTCAGCGCGGGGCCTGATGGAAATTGCAGTTTAGCTGTTCTGGAAAGCCTAGTTCACTTCCCTGAGGTAGGGGAAAGACCTGTTAGTACATAAGGCTCATTGGGGACTTGGAAGTACTGTGTGCGAGCCAGACCAGTAACCACAGCTCAGACAAGAGAGAGTTGGTTGAAACACCACTGGTAAATGTTGACTTGACTGTATGCTAGGGATGTGAGCGTGTAATTGAATAGTTGTATAACTGCATGAGGTATCAGTTACACGACTAGTTGATAGTCCCTGGGCGTAGGGCCAGCAGCCAGTCTACTCCCGGGGAGGCTCCTGCCAGAGGCAGCAGCATAGAGTGGCAGCAGGGAGACTGTCTGCATAGGGAGCCGGTATAAAAACCAGCTCTCAGTGCAAACCAGCTCTGTCTGCCCTCCAGTGCGGCTGCCTCTGCTCCATATTGGAGCAGCTTCTGTGTGGGGAGCTTGGATTCCCCTCCCACCCCTACCCCGCAGATAGGGGCTGCTGTTGTGGATCCAGTCTCGCTGCGGACAGAGGCTGCTGTGCCCCAGCCTCCCCTATCTCCTCCCAACCTCTGTAGGAGACAGCAAGGGAGAGCAGATGGGTGCATGGAGCTGTCACCCGTAGAGATTCGGCTTTGGCTCCTCGTGCATATCTGCTTCCATCTTCCTCACCTTTGCTGCCTCATACAGAGGCAGCAAAGGGGGGCGGGGGCTGGTGATGCGTGTAGTCTACAGAATTAACCAATAAGCCTAAAATTATTGGTTAATTGCGTAGTTGTCTACAAGCTGACCTCCCTACTGTATGCACCCCCACCACACCAACTAGCAAAAACATTTTCATTGAGAATAAAAATGTATAGACAGACAAAGTAAGAAAAGGCTTCTTGGGAAATTAATGGAGTTTATTTTTCAAATGTGATGCTAACAATTTGTTTTAATTTACCCCACTGATTTCCAACTGCTATAAATATTTAAATAAATAAACAATGAAAAATATTTTGAAATAGACATCCATCTAAATGATGCAAAAATAGAATTATGTCTCATTATGGTTAAAATAGGATGTGAGAAGATATGCCATTGCCATAATATAATGTAATCTGATTTTTTCAAAACAGTAGAGACAAACTTGGTCCTTAAATATTATCCTGGAAACAGTTGACTCTTTTATCCTATAGTAAATTAAGAGAGAAAGCAACAGGGGAACGGTGGGGTCTTTTGTGTTTAGTATGGCTACGTCTACACTGGCACCCTTTTCTGGAAATGCTTAAAACGGAACAGTTTTCCGTTATAAGTATTTCCGGAAAAAGCGCATCTACATTGGCAGGATGCTTTTCCGGAAAAGCACTTTTTCCAGAAAAGCGTCCGTGCCAATGTAGACGCGCTTTTCTGCAAAAAAGCCCCAATAGTCATTTTCGTGATCAGGGCTTTTTTGCGGAAAAGAAATCTGTGCTGTCTACACTGGCCCTTTTCCGGAACAGTTTTCCGGAAAAGGACTTTTGCCCGAACAGGAGCAGCATAGTTTTTCCGGAAAAGCACTGATGATTTTGCAGTAGATCGTCAGTGCTTTTCCGGAAATTCAAGGGGCCAGTGTAGACAGCTGGCAAGTTATTCCGGAAAAGTGGCTGATTTTCTGGAATAAGTGGCCAGTGTAGACACAGCCTATGTGTTTTAGGATATGTTGCTTTTGTGAAAATCCTGGATTAGTAGGTATCGAGGATAAGGGAGTTATTTTATTTATGCAACTTAATTTTTCCCCCCTCCACTATTTTAAAAACAAAAGGCAGACACCAGCAGAATGTCCTGCAGAAGTTGATTCTTTAGTATTGTTCCCTTCTCTGTGCTTCTTGCCTTAACTCACAAGGCAGAAAAATCCAATAATAGTGAATAAATAACAGTACACTCAATTTTAAGAGAATATAGAGCAGGGGTAGGCAAATACCGGCCCATAGGTCAGATTTGGTTTTGCCAGGATTAGTTCCTAGTAGTCCCCTACCTCTATATTTACCTGTACAGCTGCAGGTCCTGGCAATCACAGGTCCTGTTGGCCATGGATTGCTGTTCCCGGCCAATGGGATCTCCCAGAAGCGGTGTCTTGGACTGTGCTGCTTCCTGCTGCTCAATAATGGTGATTGACAGCCAAAAGGGGCAGCAATTGCTGGTATTTGTGGCTGTGCAGGTAAATATACCGGCGATGGCCTGCCCTGGGATAACCCTGGTGAACTGCTGCTGTGTTACTGCCCACTCCTGATGTTGAGGATTGCATGAAGAAGCTCTCTCTTTATAGGTAACCCCAGATTCTGTATCAATGCTGGGTAATCGTGTGATTGTGCACACCTTTCATGCCTTCCAATGGAAGGTGAACCTCTCCCAAAGGACCATTACCTCAGGAACTTTGCAGAGTTTTTCCACATGTAAATTATCTTCTTCCTTGGGATGATGATGTTATCCGTTGTATGTTGAATTTTGATATCTCAGGATCGACATATAATTATCAATCCCACTGGGATATATTAGAGTTGGGGAAGAGATGGAAAGAGCACAAGGATTTATAATGAGGGGACACCTTTTATTTTAACTTGGCCACCTGGCACAGATTAAACAATGTTATTAAACATTCAGACCTCATCCACACACGGTTTTTGTATTAGTATAACTATTTTGGTAAGGTAATGTGTACACTTTAAACTTTTAGCATAATCACCCACTACAGACCTCCCCAAGAGTCAGAAATTCTCCTTTTGATCGAAAACTGTCTACACCGGAGGTAGGATGATTTAACTAGGTGCTCGGGTGCAGATTTTTCACACCCCTAACTGATGCAGTTGAGTTGACTTAACTGTGGTTTTTAAACTTGGCCTTAGGAGTGTAATTTTTTTTCTTTTTTTTACCAGGATAGATATACTGCTACAGTGCCTAGTGTGGACACAGTTATGCTGATGCAGTGTAAGGGCTCATCCTATATTTACAGGAATAAAATGAAATGTGTAAGTATCTTATAGTATAACTGTGTCTACACTTGAAGGTGTTTTATTACTTTAACTATATCAGTATAGCTGCCTAAAGTGATACAAATTTTAAATATAGACAAGACCAAATAAATAAATAAATCACAGTAAGCAGTGAGCCTGGAGAAGGAAGAAATGTTGATTATCAAATAATAACAAATCATAATGTTATTTATATACACACACCTCCACTGAAGATTAACATGCTGTGACACTAAGGGGATCTCCAAACTTTTCATGCTATTGTCTACTTTAGCAGAGCTACCTTTCCATTTGTGGTTGCATTGAATCCTGTGGTAGCTACAACATTTGTTTACAAAATAATATTAGGTGAACATTTAATCTTTTGTATCAGTGTTGTAAAGGAATTTAGCAGCTGCACACAAGGAATAATCAGCACCATGTGAATAGCCAGCTCTCTAGACCATCAGAAGTGGTTCCACATACCCTCATTTGAAAATCATTGTCTTAAACCAAACAGACTGACTTTTTCTAGATCAGTTAATCGTGACACACTCTGGGTTTCCTCTGATAGTTCTCTTCCCTCCTCCAGTAAGGAAAACCCAACATATACTCAGAATGAAAGGCAACAAAGACAAGTTGGGTTTTACCTGGTAAATTTGCTTTGTCAGCACTTCATGTTTTATTTATGTGTGTCTGAGCAGCTACATGTACTGTTGGAATTTTGCATATGTGCCTTCTAATCGCTGGATAGCTCCTCTTGAGTCCTAAACCAGAACAAAAAGCTATAAAAGTATTTATATAATTAGAGGCTTAGGCAATCATCATTATAGAGTCACAGAAAAAAATCCAGAATCAGGACATATCAACTCTTTTTAATTAACACTAACCACTGATTTATCTGCAGTGTTAATGGTGTACCATCCAGGAAAAAAATATGCAAAGGATTTTTTTCACTTGTCATCACAGTGTGTTTGATCTTCTAGGCTGTGTCTAGACTGGCCAGTTTTTCCGGAAAATCAGCCGCTTTTCTGGAAAAACTTGCCAGCTGTCTACACTGGTTGCTTGAATTTCTGCAAAAGCACTGACTTCCTACTGTAAGAAATCAGTGCTTCTTGCGGAAAAACTATTCTGCTCCCGTTCAGGCAAAAGTCCCTTTTGTGCAAAGCTTTTGCGCAAAAGGGCCAGTGAAGACAGCTCAGATTTGTTTTCCGCAAAAAAGCCCCAATCGTGAAAATGGTGATCAGGGCTTTTTTGCGGAAAAGCGCGTCTAGATTGGCACGGATGCTTTTCTGCAGAAAGTGCTTTTGCGGAAAAGTGTCCGTGCCAATCTAGACACTCTGTTCCAAAAATGCTTTTAACGGAAAACTTTTCCGTTAAAAGCATTTCCGGAATATCATGTCAATCTAGACGCAGCCTCTAGAGTTTCTGGAAGGTTAGCATCTTCATAGTCTCTAAACACCCAATGAGTCAAATTAAAATGGGCTCCTCCTACAACACTTGTGGATGGAATATAGTGGAAATAGCTCTCTGTTCCAAAGTTTTGGTTACTTAACCTCCCTTCTTTGTTGGAAGCACAAAAAGATCACCCTTATATAAATGAATGCAAAATAAATTTTATTTATAGAGTATTATTTTGCTTTCATAAAAAGTAACTTCTATATATGCAAATCCCAAAGAACAGGAAAATTAAAGAGAGGCGGAGAGGATATATGTATGTAAACCACAGCAATCCCTATCCTGCAGCATGTGATGGATCCTGTCACATCATATTAGTACAAATCTAACTGAATTAGTGTATAACCCACATCTGTGCAGAACTTCTTATTGCATATGGCAAGAAAAGTGATTTGCAATGTTCAGCTAACCAAACTTACATTAGTGGGCTGGTGGGGTAGCTTTGGAAGTGGCTTGGTGTAATGATATGAGAGTACTCAACAAATGATTGAAGCAGATACTGGTTTACAATGTGATTAGTAGTTTTGTGACTATGTTCTCTCTCTCATCTTCCACCTGTGTCAGAGATGATAGCATCTGTCATGTGATCTGAAATGCAGCATCGTGAACTACTGTTTCTGAGGTAAGCTGAAGACTGAAAGTTCTTTTGTCTGGTTGTCAATCTGCTTTGAGACATTACCATTATCACAGAATTCTTTCCAGTATGCCTCAGAATTGAAAGAGGATGCTTTAAGGGCTTTAGGCAAATCTTAAAAAGGCTTGTGAGATTTCAGGCATGTTTACAATAGGTTCTGGAGGTCTTCATGAATTGGTAAATGCAGGGTGGCCACAGTTGAATTGTACTTGCAAACTGCATGTGTCTCTCCAGGAACTTGAGTGAGGGTAGATGTCCCAGAGTAACATCATCAAATGGGTTTGATTTTATTGTTCCAATCATAATTCTTATCATTATATTAAGTTTTGGCCCTTCATGAGCTTTGGTACTTAAGCGGCCCACCCTGCCTGTTGCACAATATTCAGTACTCAAGTTCATCAATGCTAACTTTGCTATTTGAAAGGTGTATGCATCAGCACCCTATGTTTTATCCCATGGTTTTTGGACATGGCTAGTTCTTCCTTTTATCTTTTTGTATGTCTTTACTAGATGAAACTTAAAAGTCAACCTTCTGTTCATAGTTATACCCAAGTACATTGGATTGAGCTAATTTTGGACTCATTCACAATGAAAGGTGACATTCCTAGGCAGCTTTATTGCTTAGATGAAAGACTTACCAAGGTTTTGGGGCAGTAGGGCAGAGCTTTCAGTAATGAAAGTATTCTGCCATTATCCTGAGGTTGGCACTGAGGACGTCACCATTGGTGCTGAGATCTTTGGCTTGTACTGCAAGAGCGTTCTCAGCATACGTCACTAATGTAGATGTTGAATAATGAAGGACTCAACATAATAGACCACTATTAAGGGTATTGGCTTTGTTCATCTGCCCATTCAAGAGAACATAGAATCTACAGCAAAATACAGGACTATGTAGCACTTTAAAGACTAACAAGATGGTTTATTAAAGTGGGTCTGGCCCACGAAAGCTCATCATCTAATAAACCATCTTGTTAGTCTTTAAAGTGCTACATAGTCCTGTATTTTGCTTCAGCTACACCAGACTAGCATGGCTACATTTCTATTACTATAGAATCTACAGTTGTTGTATTGTGGCCAGGACTCACACAGTGCTGTGACATTAGATGATCCTTCATGCCTTGAGCCACAACCGAAATCATCATCATTGCATTGTACTCAATAGATAAATGTACCAGTGTTGTTCTGGTTTTTAGATTCCACTGGAAGCCAGCCTCAATATGATTAATAATGGTAAGGACCTGATTGCAGCAACTTTGTCCCAGTGTAAGCTGGCCTGTTCCTTTTGCAGGATGGCCTCAAAGATGAGAGTGAGATGCCCTCCTCTGATCCTCGGCTGACCCAAGAATTGCTCAGACTCTTTTAATGCTCACTCTGAATAATGTGTTCAAGTCCCCACCACCACCATCAGTATAGTGCAGCACAATAGTCCTTATCCCTATGGGTGTATCTACACTGCAGGGCTTAGCTCAATTTGCATAATTTATTTTGAGTTATGTCAATTGCATATCTTATTTCAAAATAGCTTATTTCAAAATAGGGAGTGTCCACAGAGCACTTATTTCGAAATAGAGCACTGTTCCTCCAACTTCCCTTACTCCTCATACAATGAGGGTTACAGGAATTGTAGTAAGAAGTCCTCCAGCTTTACAGTATTTTGACACTATTTAAAAATAACTGCCTGCTGTGTAGACATGGACTAAGTTATTTTGGAATAGTGCTAGTTATTTCAAAATAGTGTTGCAGTGTAGATGCATCCTTTTGAACCTTCATCAGGACCCTGGGAAAACAAGAGAGTTCTTTTCTTTGGGATCTCCTTCAATCTGGGCACAGCTAGCCCTATCCTCCCACCCAAAAAAATCATTCCTGCCTTTTATCAATATTTTAGCTGATGGACCAATTAATTATTTAACTCACCCTGCCTCCCCAACTGATTAGCTCATTCCTCCCTATTTCCTCAGTCAATCCTCACTGAAGAAACTGAAGCTTCAGGTATCACAATACTGACTTATCTGTCAAACCGCAGAACTTTGTCACTCCTCTCTATTGTGATCCTTGATAGTTCTGTGTGGCCATAGGAACTTTTCGGAAGGTGCAAAAACTGGTGCAATAGCTATTTGGATATATAATTCTTTATTTCAATTTGCAGGACATACAGATGTGATCAAGGATCAATAATAAGCAGGTAGTTTTCAATGTTCAGTTTATGCCCTATGTACAGTACATTTGAAAACATTGCCATAGTTCGTGTGAAGCATCTTGTTTGTCCTATTTAAATTGCCATTGAAGTAAGGATTGCAGATTTAGTCTATCAGTTGTTTAAAATGCAATGAAATAGTTTCACTTAGTTACATTTCTAAACAGATACAATCTTATATACTAACTAAACACATAAATTAATTTCTGACTGTTGGTGACATCACTGAAGAATTTCTGTAGCCTGAATGATACTTTGTTAATGTGAAGTATTCAGCAGTGGACCTTCCAGCAATCTACACACTATCCATCCATCTTACTGGTTGTTCCTGCCTATAATGACTCTCCCCTATCCTTTCCACAATGATTTGCATGAAAAGTATAGTGGTGGAACTAGCACCATAAACTAATTTCAGAAAAAGCTGAGGCACACTTGACCAATTTCTAAATATCCATCACATCACTGAAAAATGAAGAAAGTACAATCACCCACTGACCATATGACTCATTGACTATCAAATCTGATATGACATTCTTTGTAGGATACTATCAAGCTTGCGGAGTCCAGACAATCTGACTAAACTAATTGCAAGTCTCTACCACCATCAACAGACAGTAGTGTGAAAAGCCAGAAGTGGTTTTCCCCTGGGCAGGGTGAGAGATGAGTGTATTTTGTCCCCACGCCTCTTTAACATATATGCAGAATTTATTATGAGATTTTTACAAAGTGGAAGAAAGATCTGGGATTTCCATTGCTGGTCACCTTTTAACTAAACTCACATATGCTGATGACAACTGTATTTGCTACAACCACTGATGCAATGCAACAAATGCTGGTCTGTAAAAACAGTTTTGTGATGAATATATACTATACCTGAATGCAACAAATCAAATTGCACTTATGTAGATACAACAGACCAAACAGGATGCAAACAGATATCACAATTAACAGACCAACTGTAGAAGCAGTAGATTAATTGAGTTATCTGGAATCATATATATTCAACCAAAGTGGCTGTTGCAAAGAAATCTGAAAAAAAACTAAGGATGGCTCACTCAGCTAGGGCTTTACTTAAGAAAGTGTGGAAAAAACATGGCATCTTGAAATTTACAAAGGTGCAACTGGTAAAAAGCCTAACTTTCTCCATAGAGATATATGTATGTTAATGCTGTTAACAAGAAGAAAATTGAATTTTTTGAAATGTGGCACTGGTGAAGAATTACATATTACTGATTGTTTTGTGAACTTCACAGAATTTTTCCCAGTTATGATGTGTTCATATTTTGGGTTTTTTCTTCCTCTGCAGTTTTGTAAATACGTTGATACATTTGTTAATGTTTGGATGACATGAAGTTGAAGATAGTGCTATATAAAGTCGATAAGGAATTTTGCATCAGTAAGAAATGGAGGTGCTACCTTCAAGTCAGTGGCACAGCTATGATCACCTGCATGTCCACACAATATGCCAACATTTTTATGGCTGACCTCGAACAATGTTTCCTCGGCTTTTGTCCCGTCATACCCTTCCTCTTCTTACATTACACTGACAACAACTTCATCATATGAACCCATTGGAAGGAAACCCTTGAAGAATTCCACAGGGATTTCAGCAACTTCCACCCCACCACTAACCTTAGCTGGACGAGTCCACACAAGAGATCAACTTCCTTGACACTATAGTGCAATTAAATTATGGACACATTACCACCCCCCTATACCGGAAACCTGCTGACTGTTGTTCTTACTTACATGTCTCTAGCTTCTATCCGGGATACATCACATGATCAATTATTTAGAGCCAGGCCCTGAGATACAACTGGATTTGCTCCAATCCCACAGACCGAGACAAACACCTACAAGATCTTTATCAGGCATTCTTAAAACTTAAATACCCGCCTGGAAAAGTGATGAAACAGATTGACAGAGCCAGACAAATACTCAGGAATCTGCTTCTCGAAACAGGCCCAACAAAGAAAATAACAGAAAATCACTAGTCCTCACCTACAGCCCCCAATTTAAACCCCTCCAGCACATCATTCACCATCTACAACCTATCGTGGAAAATAATCCCTCATAATCTCAGGCCTTGGGAGACAGGCCAGATCTTGCCTACAGACAACCCCCTAATCTGAAGCAAATTCTTTGCAGGAGCCACACCACACCTCAGACACCCTGACCCAGGAACCTACCCCTGCAATAAACCCTGTTGTCAACTTTGTCCACACATCTATATAAGTGACACCATCACAGGACCTAACCACATAAACCACCACATCAGAGGCTCATACAATTGCACATCCTCTAATGTGATATATGCCATCAAGTGCCAGCAATGCCCCTCTGCTATGTATATTGGCCAAACTGAACAAAGGATATGAATATAAGCATGGCCATACTGGGTCAGACCAAAGGTCCATCTAGCCCAGTATCCTGTCTACTGACAATGGCCAATACTAGATGCCCCAGAGGGAGGGAACACAACAGGTAATCCTCACATGATCCCTCCCTTGTCACCCATTTCCAGACAAAATAGAGGCTAGGGACACCATTCCTACCCATCCTGGCTAATAGCCATTGATGGACCTAACCTCCATGTATCTATCTAGCTCTTTTTTGAAACCTGTGAAAGTCCTAGCCTTCACCACATCCTCTGGCAAGGAGTTCCACAGATTGACTCTGCGCTGAGTGAAGGAAAATTTCCTTTTGTTTGTTTTAAACCTGCTGCCTATTTCATTTGGTGATCCCTAGTTCTCATATTATGGGAATAAGTAAATAACTTTTCCTTATTCATTTTTTCCATACCGGTCAGGATTTCATAGACTTCTATCATATCCCCCCTTAGTCTCCTCTTTTCTAAGATGAAAAGTCCAAATCTTTAATCTCTCTTCATATGGGGCCCGTTCCAAACGCCTAATAATTTTTTGTTGGATTAATGGACACAAATCAGATATTAGAAATGGTAACACACAGAAACCTTTAGATGAACATTTTCACCTGCCTGGGCACTCATTAATGGATTTAAATGTAGCCATTCTTCAAAGGAATTTCACAAACCAACTACAGAGAGAGAGAATGCAGAATTTACCTTCATATGCAAATTTGACACTTCCTGGGGCTTGAACAAAGATTTGAACTGGATGGCCCATTATAAAACCTGCTTTCCTTACATTCAACACCTAGTTGACATGAAAAGCTAAGTGGGATACTTCCAGCCCACTTGATTAGCCTCATTAGCACCACCACTATAATTGACAGGTACTTTTTTTCCCCTCTCCCTTCTTTTTCTGTTATAAATTGTGAGGATTCCCCCCCCCCCACACACACACACAGTTTTTCTCCATTTAAGCTCTTCTGAAGAAGTGGATTTTGCCTACAAAAGTTCATGATACTATATATATTTTAGTCTCTAAGGATTTCACAGGATTACTCATTGTTTTTAAAGTTACAGATCAATATGGGTGCCCCTCTGAGACTAACAGGTGCATAGACCTCAGTCTTGCTAATTTATAAATAAGCTTAATTTTAAGCATATGAAGACTTTCACCAATGAATTCCTGGTCCAGCTGAAGTCAATGATCAAACTTGTATTGACTCCAATAGGGTCAAGATTGTACTAGAGTTCTGTGTGGGACTGTTTTTTAAATTCTGCTCCTGACCTGCCCCAAAATATCCACTTCCTTCTGCTCCTAGGTTTTTGTCTTACATTTTTTTTATCTTGCTCCCACCCACAAAAACTTTAGGTACTGCAAATCCCACAAGAGAGCTAGATTCCTCCAAGTTTACTAGGGGTACATCTACACAACTACATTATTTTGAAATAAAGAACATTATTTTGAAATAACTTAGTCTGCGTCTACACAGTAGGCAGTTATTTTGAAATACTGTCAAGCTGGAGAACTTTTTACTCCTACTCTTGTAACTCTCATTATACCAGAAGTAAGGGAAGTCGGAGGAAGAGTGCTCTATTTCGAAATAAGTGTTGTGTAGATACTCCCAATTTTGAAATAAGATATTTCGAAATAAGGTATGCAATTGACGTAGCTTATTTTGAGTTAAGCTCTGTGATGCAGATGCACCCTAAAAGAATAAAACACATCTTGCTTACACAATGTAAAAATACTTTAACCTCTGTTATGATAGAGAGCAAATCTCTATCACTCAGCTTCAAGTATTAAAAGTTTTAAAGTGATTTCCCACAAGTTTTTGTGTTTTTGTTTTACAACCTATTCTGCTCTCAGCAAAGTGCATTTTATCCATTCCCATTATTATGATAGCAGATCCTGTGAGACAGGGAGGATCTCAGTCCCACTGTAGGGCTCTGGAGTGCATCTCATGACTTGAGGAGGACTGCTCATATGCTTATAGTTGTCCAAATGTGTTTCTAGAATTAGAATAGTTTCTTCTTGTATATAGCTGTATTACTACTATAGTTATATAATAATTCTTTTATTTGCATGATTTCAGATACAGTGAGCATCCATGTTACAGAGATGAATAAATACTGTAAATTATTTAACTCGTATTTTTCAGCATGTATCTGTTGTATAAAAAGCTGCTGTAGAAAATGTTAATAGTTTTGTTTATGAAATTAAGATTTTTTACAATTCCTGACAATGTGTTGTGTATGCAAATCACTGGCACACAAGGCCCTGATCCTGCAGTGAACTGCAGGAGGCCCAATTATTTAACTTTATGCCAGATGTATGTAAGTAAGATCAAGGCCTTGATGTATGAAATGTGTTGTAAAGGCCACATCTGGATGTTGCGATACTAAATGTATTTTAATGAATTTATCCACTCAGACTGTCCCCACTTAGAAAGAGCCATCCTTATTTTTCAGCCAAGTATTTATAATATTCCCTGCTCTATCTTTAAAAAACAAATTACATTGTATTTCAGTGGAATTAAAATATTTTGATTCAAAAATATCCCTGAGTTTGTCACAGATTTCAAATGTTACAATACATTATAGAAAATAAACATTAATTCGTATTTTCTAGCTGAATGAGGTTTTAGAAAATTAAATTAATTTGGTATTATTATTTAAAAGTAAAAATGAAATGTACTTTGATTAAAATATATTGAGGGATTATAGGAGCGAATATGCAGACATTAATAAAGCCTACTGCCACTACCAGCATGGTTCTATCTAGCTCCCTGTCCCCCAGCTGTCCTCCCAGCTGCGCTTAGGACATTCACGCACGCTGCTTTCCTATTGCCTTTCTATTGTGGAGCTTTGCAACAAAGGGTAGGATCCAAAGCATGTTCCATTTCATCCAATCAGAACAACAAATTCACAGATAATTCTCATTGGCTCGTTCCTGTTTCACAGTAACCAATCGGCGTGTTACTTTAACAACCAATAGGCGGTCAGGTTTGCATCCAATCAGCGCTGAGGAAATGGAGCACCGCCTTTGTGTCCTGTGACTGATGGGAAGGTGCGCCGCTTCCAGGTATTATGAAGTCATCACGCAGCATGCCGTCCCCCGCTATAAAAGGTGGGTCCCCGGAGCGGGGAGGGCATAGTGAGGGGGATCCTTGGTTTGGTTGTGGTTCGTTCGTAGAGCGGATTATAGCAGCGGCATCCGGCGGATTTTTCGGCAAGCGGTGAGTGGCTGTCCCGCGCCGGAGAGCGAAGGTGCGCCGCTTCCAGGTATTATGAAGTCATCACGCAGCATGCCGTCCCCCGCTATAAAAGGTGGGTCCCCGGAGCGGGGAGGGCATAGTGAGGGGGATCCTTGGTTTGGTTGTGGTTCGTTCGTAGAGCGGATTATAGCAGCGGCATCCGGCGGATTTTTCGGCAAGCGGTGAGTGGCTGTCCCGCGCCGGAGAGCGATCGGCCCCTCTGGGGACAATCGGATGTGCCGACCGGCTGCTGAGCGCAGCCCCTATTGACGTCGGACGGGATTTGGGCCGGTCCGTGCCCGGCCGACTTCGCCGAGGAAGCGCAACCCCGGCCTGCTCTGATGGGCCCGCCTGCGGTCTCTGCTTCGCGACAGCAGCCGGCCTCGCAGCGCCTGGGATTCGCCGGCCGGCCGCAGGCAGAGGAGGCGACCGTGACTCACCCCTCCCGCCAAGAAGGGCCACGCTGCGGAGCGGGGGTGGGGGAGCGGTGACTCCTCCTCCCCCTCCCAGGGGAGCCCGCTGGCTGCCTGCCTGCCGCGCGGGGGAGGGAAGGCAGCCCACGGACATCTGCTGCCTGAGGCTGGCAGCGCGAGGCACCCGCCTCTGCGTGGGAAGCTGTGCCCCTGGAGGAGCCTGGTGTCGTCATGCTGGGGTGCCCAAAACGCATGGAGGGTGGGATGTACGGAGGAAGGGAAAAAGCTCAGTCAATGTTAGGGATCTTCCTGTGTCACACCTGCCTGTTTCAGTTCTAGGTAAGTGAGAGAAGATGGCCCGTACAAAGCAGACTGCGCGTAAATCCACTGGTGGCAAAGCTCCACGTAAACAGCTGGCTACTAAAGCAGCTCGAAAAAGTGCTCCCTCTACTGGTGGAGTCAAGAAACCACATCGTTACAGGTAAGGAAAGAACCTGGTAGATGTACTGACAAGTTTGGAGAGTATATTGTAAGTTGAGATTTGCATCTGTTTTGATAGCCATGTGGACTGAAATCTTCTTGTTCCTTCTAGGCCTGGTACTGTGGCCCTTCGTGAGATTCGTCGTTATCAGAAGTCTACAGAGCTGTTGATCCGTAAGCTTCCCTTCCAGAGGTTGGTAAGGGAAATTGCCCAAGACTTCAAAACAGACTTGAGGTTCCAGAGTGCAGCTATTGGTGCACTGCAGGTATTGTACTACTACAAGTGGTTCAACTGCTGCTTTTATAACTTAGGTAGCTGGGGGAAGCACGTGTTGCTTTCTGAAGGCTGGTAACACTTTTCTTGCCTCTCTTTTTAAAACAGGAGGCAAGTGAAGCATATCTGGTGGGTCTGTTTGAAGACACAAATCTGTGTGCCATTCATGCCAAGAGAGTCACCATCATGCCCAAAGACATCCAGCTGGCTCGCAGGATACGGGGGGAGAGAGCTTAAGTGAAAGCTGGTTTTTATGGTGTTTTGTAGTAAATTCTGTAAAATACTTTGGTTTTAATTTGTGACTTTTTTTTGTAAGAAATTGTTTATAATATGTTGCATTTGTACTTAAGTCATTCCATCTTTCACTCAGGATGAATGCTAAAAGTGACTGTTCACATAAACCTCAGTGATGTGAGCCTTGTTGCTCAAGAGTGACAAGTTGCTAATATGCAGAAGGGATGGGTGATCTTTCTTGCTTCTCATGCATGTTTCTGTATGTTAATGACTTGTTGGGTAGCTAAAATTGTAAGGTACTAGAATTGATATAAATGTGTACAGGGTCCTTTTGCAATAAAACTGGTTATGACTTGATCCAAGTGTTTAACAATTGGGGCTGTTAAGTCTGACCATACATCACTGTGATAGAATGTGGACTTACAGAGGGTGAAACTACAAGTCTTAACCACAGTGTAACTTACAGTTTCCTAAAAACGTAAACCTGGCAGCTATAGAATACACTATGTGCATTTATAATAGCTATTTTATATATTGTAGTGTCAACATTTTTAAATTAAATGTTTTACATTCACATGTGAGGTGTCCTGTCATTTGGTGTCCATGGAATTAAATAGTAAGCTGGATAAAGTGTTCTGAAGGAGTGAGTTTAAGTCTCTGTCCCTAATAGTTGTAGGATATTACTTAGAAATGTTCTTACTCTAGCTTAATATCTTGTATGATCAGTGAGCTGAATCAGGGAAAATATGAGCTTTTTGTCTTTTGGGCTACTTTGTGAAGGTTGTGTTTAAGCAGTAGTTGGTATTGTCTAGAATGGCAGGTGCAGGGCTTGGTTCTGGTTCCTTAAATCACAGTAGCAATTTTTTTTATGGAGGAGAGTGAGAGGCTTGAGATACTCACCTTCAAGAATCATTGATCTACACTAATCTCCCTTCCCCAAAATCAAAGCACATCTTTTTAAACAGGTTGTAGTAAAGGGCTTTAACAGTTTGACTTAATGACTAAGCTATGACCATTAGGCTATTGGTGGTCTAGAAAAGCATGGTCTTAACTCCCTTCCCTTCTGAAATCACTATCCAAATGTCTTCCTTGGCACTTTTAAGGAACAAAAAGCAGGAGATCAGTTGGAACAGTGAGGTGTCTAATTTGGGAGGCCCTTAGTTGATAGTCCATGAAGTTTTAGGTGCTTTTGAAAATTTTAAACTTACTCATAGCTGTAACTTGAGTTAAATGGAGAAAGTTCAAGATGGAATAAAATCCCCCTTGTCTCAACTTCTTGTTTCACTCTTAATGTTTTAGTTTTTTTTCCTTGGAAAAAAATTCTCTTGAACTACTTCTTCCATGCAGAAGCAAGAAAAGTCTTGCTCATAAAATAGCTGCAGGCTCAATTAACCCCACTCCCACACTACTCTTAACAGCTTTTCTGTAACTCTAGTGATGGATTACTTTGTCCTTTCTGAGCTGTTAGGGAGGGAGGGCTTTTTGTTAATCTGTTAGGTGTTTGCATCAATACTACTACTACTCAGGTATGGAAAAATTTACACTGGGAACAGCTAAATTATTCCCATCTTGTTTTATTCCACAAATTTGAAAGCTCTCTTAGTGAAACTCTCCATGGGAAACTTCTTTTAGAAAAAAGTTTGGAGAGACGGGGCAGTAAAGTAAGCAGTGGTTTTCAGACTAAATTGTTTAGAACTGGATGTATTTGAAATACTTCCTTGTAGAGTTTAATAGTTCAAAAATCAAATCCTAAAATTCAGTTCATATTACAGGTGGACAGCCTCTTAATCCGTTGTCAAGGTCTCAACAGCTGAAAAGTGTCACCAGGGCTCCAAATGTGGGTCACTGGAGTGCCTGGAGGATGCTCAGAGCGCTAGAGCCATCAAATCCCCCTTCTCATCAGACAAACCATTCAGTGTGTTTAAATCCAGCAGCTGAGGGAACAAGTACTCATTACCAGTTATTCATGCATATTCAAATTTTGAGGGTGGTACCAGCACCCTCTGTTTTTCTTTCCTCTGTACAAAATGATTAGTTTAGGACTGTTATAGCAACAACCACTTTATAATTATGTAAAACATCTTTCCTCTTCCCCAAATCTTGGCTACTTTACAGCATCAAAATAAATGTCAGTACAGCAGGATTCTACAAATACAAAGATTCTAATAAAGGCATCAAATTATGATGTAAATCACTTGAAAGTACCTTATAATGCAAACTGGATATTGCACATTAATTTTATTATGAAGGATGGTTAGGGTACTAGGATTTAGTAAATCCAGGTTCTGCTCTAGCACAGACTGTGTTGACCTTGAGCAAGTTGCTGAGTCTCTGCTTCAGCTTCCCCATTATAAAATGGGCAATAAATGCACTGCCCAATCTCACTGGCATCATGAGATGTTCAGATGCTAATAAGTACCTAGAGTTGCTACACAGCCCCCCCCCCCCCTCCAAAAAAAACCCACCAAACATACAAACCCTGCAGCAGTGGATCTCAGAGCTCTGCTGAACTGACTTGAGCTAAAAATAGTGTAAATGTTCAGTCTAGAGCCCCAGACTTCAAGACTCTTGCCCAGTGTCTGCTCCAGTCTAAATGTCTACACAGCTATTTCTATCCCCATGCTGCAAGCTCAAATAAGTTGACCAGGGCTCTGAGACTCATTGCTGCATTTTTTGTTGTGTCTTTTCTACCTGTAGATATCTGGGTAAATAAAACCTAAGGCATGCAGGCTATGTAACTTTCTACAGCTCAATTCAGTACACTACTTGGAAAAGTATCTTTAAATATTAGCCCTCTGCTACAAATACCAATGCCATTTACTGAATGGAGATATACTGCAACATAGGTAGCATCTGGTAGAAATACCCAAGCCAGCTGGATATGTGGCAAATAATTTAACTACAGTATTACAGAATCATCAGAATTTTCTTTAGAAGTCGCATTAAAATGTTTCATTTTACCTACACGTTGCAAATTGTTACTTGTGTGTTACTTGTAGTTTACATTTTTTCCCCCATGCCTTATGTTTTCAGTTCACCTGTTCTCACCAGGGACAGTTTCCAGAACACCAAACTTCACACGTGGATGGCAGCTCATTATATCTTGTGATTGGGGCAGTTTTTAACTGAGCATTTTCCAGAGAAGAATTACTTCAAGCTCAGGCCCTAATCCAGGAAAGCATTAAAGTGTTCTAATGTAAGTTATCAACTTCAGTGGCATTTAAGCACAAGCTTTAAAATGGGGTGGGGAACCTTTTTGGGGTGGGGGCCACTTACAGAAAAATGCACAAGTGAGAAGCAAAAAAACCTTCACTGATGTTGCCTCTGAAGGAGAAAGACACACCCCACATTCCCATTACACACCAGGCCTAGGAGGTCCCAGGCTAGTAGATTTTGTGTGCTCCAGCCCCATGGTAGGGCGGCAAGGGGGCTGCCCAATGTTGGGGGAACCTTGAGCCTTGGGCTGGATCCAGGAGGCCTGAGGTTCCCCATACCTGCTTTAAAAGATCATATAGCATTTCTTTTTTACCTACATGTGATAACACAAAGAGAAAGGCAGTACTTGCATGTAGCAGGATGTGGTGGGACACAAAGAATTGCCATCTTTTTACTCTAATTTATATCTAAAACTGTAAGATGTTTGCTTACCAATTCTCTTGATAATTTCTTCACATTCTGTCTCAGAATTTGATTCAAACACCAGACAGTCAAAGGTACTGTGTTCTGGGGTCCCCGGTGAAACCCTGAATAAAAAAATTCTTATCAATAGACAAAAATAAATCCAGTAATTCATAAAGGGGGTTAAAATGGGGTACAGGAAGTACCATAAAAGCATCTCCTCTCCACATCTGATGTGTCTGTCCCTGTTCCACATAAAGTAACAGCAAGGCTAGTGGTCCAGGTACATGAACAGTGATGGCACGCATATTGGACCCACTGCTCATAGCCCCCTTTTTCCATTTATTGACTGTGGCACATGAGGGAAAGCATGCCAAATCCAACCTACAGATCTTTCAAAACTTTTTTAAAAAAATGTAATGGATAAATTCATGATCCCAAATACAGGGCCTCTGAACTAGGTTTGTCCCACAATCAACACTTACGCAACACAGAAGGCAAAAAGATTGTTGCTGTCCAGACGGCGACCCACACAGGAGACCTCTGGATAGGGGTATTGCATCAGAACCTACAGTGTAAGTCAAGAGAGAGATTGGGTTAGCAACAAAGCTGACAGTTTAGGATTCAATTTCAGTGTTTGTTCACTGAACCTACTGTTTGATATTAAATGGATTGTTGCAAAGGGAAATTCTTTTCCATGTAAAATGAAGTCAGAGCTGCGGCCACTATGCATATGACACAAAATAGTTTTCTCGTTCTTATATCACTGTGTACACCCCAAGCTCAGTGCACATTCTACAAGCTAAAAACACAAATGTAAAACTATGCTAAGGAAAGTGAGAGGACACAAATCAGGGTATTTAAACACCAACATGTGGGAATGCTTCAACTAAACTCGAACATATCTCTCACCTTGGAAGAGATTCTCTCTTGTATGAGGACTTCAGTTTCTTTCACATCAAATAAAACTTCCTGAATAAACAAACAAACAACTTTTTAGATTTGTTTTAGAGAAAGGTAACAAGAGTGATGTAAATCTTATGAAGCATAGTTTTTTGGGAAGCCTTCTCCCACTAGTGACAAAATCCACAGATCACAACAAATGGTTGGTGCAGCGAATTAACGAATTTAGTTTTCAGCTCTTCAGACTTTGGTTCAAATTCAGTGTGGTCATGAATGAAAATAACCATGGTGATAATCTTTGGTTAGCCTCTGGTAGTGGTGGCTTGGGGGGAGAGGAGGGGAACAGGAGCCAGTGCTGGGGAAGCCGGCTTAAAAGCTGGTTCAGTCCAGCACCATCTTCACAGTGCCACCTACCTTTAAAATGCAGAGGTGCGGCAGTTCCGGAGCGAGCCTCCCCTTATCAACTAATTGGTGTAATCGATACAAATTGTATCAACTATACGATTAGCAAAATACCCGTTCCTTAACATCCTTAGTGACAACTTCAAAATCCTAGCTCTGCCAACTTAAATGCCAATATTAATCTGCCCACATTCATAGTACAAAACCACCAAGCTTGAATGACTAAAGAGTAATTGTAAACACAGCTGGATATGATTCTCATTTAGCCTATGTTCCTCAGCTTTTGCCAGCCACATCACCCCCCCTTGCTGTCCCCCTCCACACACACACACTCTCCAAACCAATACCCATCTGTTCTATGCCCGCTCAGCCAACTTAACCATAAAATTAATCCTCAGCATTTCTATAGCATCACAGGGTGGACACCGCACTTTACAGCTGGTTAGTATGCCAGACAAACAACAAAATCCCTCCCTATGGAGTCTATATAAAAAAGGCAGGAGAGGATACAGGACAAGAACCTTGAAAGTGACCTGAAGAGAGAAAACAATGCCTGGTCTGTGCCTTTATTTTCCTTCTTTAAGAGGTCTAAAGGAGGCCTGACATTTTTAAAGGGTTCTCCTTTAGTGTCCTTAAATCTGATTAGAAATGACCAGTCTTGTCTTCCCAGAATTTGCTGATCAACTTGGAGGCGTGCACTGTGCCTACTCTGAGTCTGGTTTGACTCAGCTGGCATGAGGGTGGCAGAATTGGGCTCCTCCATTGTAACTCTCTCTCTCTCTCAGTGGTCACTCAGTAATGAGTAGGACGTGTTCCTGTCACACCCCTATTTGTGGATCTGTAGATGGCTAACCAGCCCGACTCTGGTGGCTATTGGAGGGACGCGGGGCAGTTTTTGCCGCTCTTTTCTCCTCAGCCTCTCTTTGTTTGTGCTGTGATGGGACCTCTCAAATTGCACCACCCCCTCATGGATTTCCGCTCTCCATTGGGGACGGTCCTGGGCAAGGTTCTCCCACGTGTCGACACTGATGACGCACTCTCATGTTTGCCTTCAACATGTCCTTAAATTGCTTCCGCTGCCCCCCAACGCTCCTCTGTCCTTCCTTCATCTCAGAAATCAGACTCTGTTTTGGGAGGCACTGATCAGGCATCCGGACCACATAACCAGTCCAGCAAAGTTGTTGGTAGATGATGATAGCGTCAATGACTCTTCCAGGAAACCAGTGTTTGTGCACCTGTCCTCTCAAGGGATATTTAGGATTCTCCTGAGGCAGCGTTGATGATATTGTTCAAGTTCCTTCAGGTGACACACAAGGAGCTTTGTCGTGGCACTGATGTCCAGGTTCTCAAAGACCCTTCGTCTCAGGTGGGGAAAAGTAGAGTTTGTGCAGCTTAGGCAATGCTGGATTTCTGCATCAATGTTGAATTTGGCAGAGAATTCCAAGATATGGGAAATGCTCCACATTTTCCATCAGTTCTCTGTTGACTTTGATGGTACATGAGATTGTCCTGTCGGCGAGGGCTGATGGAGCACCTTGGTCTTTTTGATGTTCAGCATGAGGCCGAGATTCTCGTACGCTTCAGCGAAGGCACTTAAGATGGTCTGAAGAGCTACGGGAGAAGGAGCAGCGACCATATTGTCATCCGTGTACTGGAGCTACATGATCAAAGTCGTGGAGGTCTTGCTTTTGGCTTTCAGTCTCCGGAGGTTAAAAAGCTTCTCATTAGTTCTATAGACAATCTTCACGCCATCTGGAAGCTTGCCATCAATGAGATGGAGGGTCATGGCAATGAAGATGCAGAACAGTGATGGGACAATTATGCAGCCTTATTTGACTTCCATTTTGACCTCAAAGGGCTTGCTTCGAGATCCGTTGTTACTCCGCACTGTGGCAGTCATATTGTCATGAAGCAGCCTCAGGATGCTGATGAATTTTTTGGGGCATCCGATCTTTGAGAGGATGGTCCACAGGGCGCTACAATTGATTGAATTGAACACCTTGGTCAGATCAATGAAACTCATGTATAAGGCGACATTTTTCTTGCAATTCCCAAGCAGTGAAGATCATGTCCCACTATTCCTCAGAATGGTCAGAAGCCACACTGGGATTCTGGGATAATTTCTTCTGAAAATGGCAGGAGTCGATTTGCAAGTATTTGAGCTTAGATTTTCCCTGCCATTGCCAGGAGGGAGATGCCGCAATAGTTTCCACAGTCCGATTTGTCACCCTTCTTGAGGAGACTAACGATCAGTGTGTCTCTGAACTCTTGTGGTATCTACTCCCTATTCCAGATCTTGAGACTCAAGAAATAGAATTGTTTGTGGAGCTCTGACCTGCCTTCTTTGAAGACTTCAGCAGGGATTCCGCCTAGTCCAGTTGCCTTGTTGCTCTTCATCACTTGATGGCAGCTTGGACCTCATTCAGGGTAGGAAGTACTGCAAGATCGTCCCTCGGTAGTTGCTGAGGGATTCAGTCAAGGAATTCTGGGACTACGGTGGAGGGGCAGTTCTGGAGCTCGTAAAAGTGCTCCCTCCTGCGAGAAGCAATGGCTTCACTGTCTTTCAAGAGTTCAGTACCATTCTTTGATCTCAGGATTAATTCCATGGTATTCTCAGTCCATAAACAGCTTTGGTGGCATTGAAAAAAACCTCTTTTGATTTCTGCAAGATGTTGGAGCTCTCATGCCTTCTCAGTCCACCATTGATTTTTCAGAGTCCTTATTTTGCACTGGACATCTTCCTTGACCTTGGCATGTGCTTCTCTCTTCTTTGTGCAGTTGATGTCACTTTGCCAGGCCCTGAAGGCTTTCCTTTTTACCTCAATGATATGTTCAATTTCCATATAATTCTCATCAAACTAGTCCTGATGCTTACTGGACTGGTAGCCAATGGTTTCTCCACAAGCTCCAATTATGGCATTTTTCAATTGACACCAGTGTTCTTCCACATCTTCAGAGGAGTGTTCTGTCGGCAGCTTCCTTTGGAGCGCTATCTGGAAGGGACTTCGTCTGGTGGGGTCCTTCAAGCCTTGTACATTGAGCTTTCATTGGATCAGTTTCTTCTGAGTTCTCCATTTGGTGACAATCCTAATCACCATCATGGATCAGATGAGGCAGTGATCGGTCCGGCAGTCATCAGCGCTAGTCATTGCACGTGTGAGTAGGACATCGTGCTGATCCCGAGAGCAGACAATGACATAATCTAGGTGTCCAATTAGATGTAAAACTTCTCCTTCACAGCATTTTCGGCATCTAAAGTTGGTGCGTGAGCACTCATGACAGTTGCCTGTTGGTTTTTGGCAGGCTTCAAGCGGAGAGTCATGAGGCACTCATTAATGCTGACAGGGACTTCAGTCAGATAGGATCTTTGTCAGTTCGTTCTTGATGGCAAATCCTACTCCATGAATTCGTTTTTCTTCCTTTGGGGTTTCTTTCTAGAAAAAGGTGTACCCTCTGCCTTCTTCTCTTAGCTGTCCTCCTGATCTATACATTTCTGCCAGGGCAGCTATGTTGATGTTAAATTGTCAGAGCTAATGGGCGATAATTACCATGCGTCTTTCAGGTCGTCCACTGTCTGGATTGTCCATTAAAGTCCGAATATTCCATGTTCCAAAATTTAACCTTTGATTTTGACCGCAAAGAGGTGAACCCAGTGGATGTGGTCATCTAGCCGGGGGCTGAGGTAGACTAGATTTAGGGCACCTTTTCTAGCTCTCTCCCCATACAGGGTGAGCAGAACGGATCCTCAGTCGTGGATGCAGCCCCAGACCATTCTACCACCTCGGTCCTTAAAATGGAATGACTGATACACACATCCACTGCCTACATGCTGATCCACGACTAAAAGCTTCTGGATTTCACAATCCTGCTCCTGTCGTCATTTGCCAGTCGCTGTAGGGCTTAAGCTTAGAAGAGTAGCGCATAGGAAGACGCTTGTGCATGACTTGTTTTAATGTGGTGCAGCCACCACACCTCACTCTCTGGGTCGTCACCTTGTCGTGGTGAGTGGGCTTGCACGTTCCAATGAACCCGAGAGCGATGCCATAAGGAGTCTTGTACTCCTGGTAGGGTCACCCGTGGCAGCAAGGTCAAGGGGGAGAGACTAGACAAAGAACGATCCTAAACGTCCTCAACAGCAGAACAGGCGGAGGATAGCAAGGGTAATGCTACAACGGCTATGAAGGCGGATGAAGGCTGCAGTGGACAGGAGACTCCCAATCCTCATGGATTTCATGCCATTGGACTTGGGCCTTCTATCCATCAAGGATTATAATTCTACAGGGCAGAGAACACATTGTTTTCCTCAAGAACAAAGGCATTCTTTGTAATCGGTACCATGTCACAATGAGCCGTTCTGGCCAGCCTGTATCAACTCAATCCACTTAATCAAGGGTGAACCAAATGCAATTTTAAATTTCAAAGTTTAATGACCACATAGCTTTCTGCTGAAAGGAATGGGAGAATTTCTGTTAGCAGCACTTCTACCAGGCCTCTGTAGATACAGTAGTAACAATATTCAACATAAATGCCCAATATATAAGTATCCCAGATACTTGTTGCATATGCACTTAAGACTCTTGGTGCATGAATTCAAAATACAGAGATATGGTTCTCAAGCGCTCTGCGTTCCTTAAGGGGAAAAAAATACAGTCTCCCCAACCCATTCTGTTTTGATTCATGCAATAGACACTGACAAGCTGAGCACCAAATACTGTTTCAGACTCTTACAAATGCACAAGCCATTTGATTCTGTCTCACTAGGTTTGACAACCAAAGGGGAATCCTAACTGTATTGCTAACACCTTCCAAACACACAAGCTCTTCCCCGAGCTCTCCTATACACTCACCCTAGAACATACTTAGTTTCTTAGCTAATGCCTCCATTGCCACTGCATGAAGGCGGAAGACTTTCACCTACGGGATGGCAGGAAACATGTCACTTGTAGCAGCCACATGAAGGACGAAAGCCAATCCATAGTTACAGCTGAGTCTAGACTTCCATTCCAAGCCCTGTTCTCGCACTGCCTTTTGATCAGAGTGACCCATTTGACTGGGAATTGAAATGCTTAAAGCTGTGGGTAAGAAGCGTTTTTCCTTAGAATCTGGAGAGTGCAGGAAGTGTCGACACTACAAAAATCAAATAGTCATTGCGGCTTAGAGCTTCTCCAGTGCCGAATGCTTTTTTTAACCCATCTGTTCTCAGCAAGGACAAACATTTCAAGAACAATGAACTTCACAAATGTCTACAGCTTTAGTTCCTGAGAATCCCTGCCACACATACACCCAGTGCCGGGGAGCAGGGGAGGATTTTTTGGACATTAAAAATTAAGGAAATTCCCAAACAAAGAAATCTGATCCTGGGGGGGGGGG